TATATTTGGTTTCATGAGACAGGGTCTTGCTAAAGAAATCAAGCTAGCCTTGAGCTATAGCCCAAGATGGTTCCCAAGTCATGGGGCTATTACTGCCTCAGCCTGCCAAGTAATGGGATTGCAGATGTTTGCTACCATATCCAGCTAAGTACTTCTATTTTATTTTTTTGAGATAGCTCTACTATGTAGTCCAGGCTGGCCTCAAACTCTGGTGATCCTCTTGTCTCAGCTTCCGAAATGCTGGAATTACAGCTGTGCGCCACCATTCCCAGCATTACCATTTTTAGTTTATTTTATTCATTAATTTATTTAGTACTGGGAATCAAACTGTATTGGTTGATACATGTCAACTTGAGAAGTTTAGAAGTTTAATTGACTCAGCAGAGAGCCAGGATTCTTAACTTTGTAAACACCCTCATCCTATGCAAGAGGAGGGCATGGACATTGTGTGAGTTCTACACCCCAGCCCCAGGGTAGCTTGTTTATAATATAAGGAGGGGAGAGAGGCTGCCTAGAAGAAGCCCCAGCAGCTGCCCTTCCCTTTGCTCTTCTCTGTTTTTTTGCTGCCATGAATAGTAGCTGCTCTCTGCCTGGGAGCCAACCAAGTGTAGACCGAAACCTCCTCAAACTATGAGCTAAATCAATCTTTCCTTCCTTAAATTTGGGTGTTTGGTATTTTGTCCCAGCAATGAGTAAAAAGTAATAGACAAAAATTCACCACACTTCCCAGGAAGGTGCTATGCTGCTAAGCTATATCCCAGCTCCCTTTGTTTTAAATAACAAACTGTATGAACTCTTTACTAGCTCCTGCCTGACATTCCCTCACTGGAATGAATCTATCTTCTTCTTTTTTTTTTAAATTTAGTAAAGGATCTAGGGGTGCAGGGTCTACAGGGTCTCACTACATAGATCAGACTCTAGTGGTTCTCTTGTTTTCAGCCTCCCAAACTCTGGAATTACAGGCATGCACCACCATGCCCAGTCTCAACTGCTATCTCAGCGTGCCCTGGGGGTGGGGCTGGCACAGCATGCCTCTGCCTAAGGAGGCGCTTTAGTCTGCTGAGCTATTTGGCCAGCCCTTTAAAGAGTCCTCATTTTTTATGTATGTACGTATTGATGTATGTATTTATGTATTTAGTACAGGGTCTAAAGGGTCTCAGTACATAGATTGGACTGGTAGTGAGCCTCCTGTTTTCAGCCTCCCAAGAGGCGGGGATTACAGGCACACACCACACACCCATTCTCAATCAACATCTCAGTGCACCCTGGGGGTGGGGCCGGCATGGCACGCTAGGGGCCAGGGATCGAACCCCGGCTGCTGCGTCTGCCTAAGCAGGCGCTTTAGTCCGCTGAGCTATCTAGCTGGCTCTTGGAAGGAACCTATCTTTAACTGTTCTTTTCTTTCTGGCTGTACACTGCCTATCCATTCAGTTTTTCTTTTTTTCTTTTTCTTTTGTATTTTGAGATAAGTTCTTGCTATGTCCAGTGGCCCTGAACTAACTATGTAGCCCAGACTGGCCTCTAAAACTCAGGGCCACCCTCTTGCCTCAACCTCCCGAGTGTTAGATTACAGGCATGCACCACCACATCAAGCTGACTTTTTTTAAAAGCAGCATGAGAAGGATTAGAGGTAGATACATGATGTCCTCAAGAACAGAGTGTGGATTCTCAAAGAAATGAGGCACACCCATTCCATTCTTGAATCCCTTAGCACCTACTCCTGAGGTCAAGTTTGATGATACTTGCTCTTGAACTCTTCTGCATCTCTGATTTAAAACTAGTGTTTTATTGTAAGTTGTCCTCCCTCCCTTCCCTTCCCTTCTGACATGATCTAAGCTGTCCTGTTGAATAGGACTGGTACTTTATGTATTTTTTTATTTTTATATTACTTGCACAAAAGCAGCATTCCATAAAGGTCTATTAAGTCTATAAATAAGCAGGGCAATGTGGTGCATGCCTGGAGTTCCAGCACTTGGAAGGCTGAGGCAGGAGTATCACTGCTCGTCTGTGGCCAGCCTGAGCTACACAGTGAATTCAAGGCTAGTCTGATTTACAAAGTGATACCCTACTTCAAAATAAAACAATAACAAAATTTAAAAACAAAACAAAAACCCATCAATCCCCCATTCAAAATCAATAAATGAACAAGTAAACAAACTAGGCTTTAAAAATTTTGTCTTTGGTATGAATTATTGTAACTGTCTTACTAACCTGTTTTGAAACTGTCTCATTGCTACGTCTCTCAATAAAATTAATATAAAAAAATTCGTCTTTGCTGTAATGAGCACATGACTTGAGTTTTCCTAGAACAACAGCTTCCTTCTCTGTGAAACATGGACATTCTCATCTTTTCTATTAGAAAGATGTTATGGTTTGTGTCTAGTTGTCCTCCCAAATCCTCATGTACATTATGGGGCAGATGCAGTTGGAGGAGCAACTGAGTGGCTTGAGGGGCAGGCCAGAGGACCAGGGTGGGGCCAGAGAGGTGGAAACGTTAAACTGGCTAGCCTGTGCTTTCTCAGAGGTGTGGAGAGGGTCATCCTGGACACGGCAGCACCCCAACCCCTCCTCTAGTGTCTTGAAACCTCTAGTAACTGTGAGCTAAATAAACTTTTCTTTCCCTCATTTTGGGTGTCAGGTATTTGTCTCAGCAACCAGAGAAGAGTAACTAAAACAAAAGATTAGATAAACCAATAAAGAATTCTGACTAGCTTTTGAGAGGCTAGATAAAAAGTAGTCCACCCTTTTCCCCTAGTACCAAGGATTAACCTAGGGCCTTTGCATCAAGCTACGTTCTCAGCCCATTTTGAAAAAAATGTTTTCTTTTAAATTTTGAAACAGGGTCTCACTAAGTCACTAAATTACCCAGGCTTTGTTGGAATTAGGATCCTTCTGCTTCAACCTCCCCAAGGGCTGGGATGACAGGCATGTGTCTCTACACCTGGCTAGCAACAACTTTCTTACTAGAGCTCACAAGGTCTCACCTAACCAGACACTAAAAATGAGTTCAAATGCCTCACCTTGATAAAGTCCAGGACAGCTTCTCTTTGAATCTTCTTGGTCCTTACTTTCTCCTCTTCATATTGCAGGGCTGCCAGCTGTGCCTCTCTACGAGCACGCTCTACCAACTGTTCTCTTCTGTCTGTATGTGGCAGCTGAAACAAAGGAATCATTTTGCATACAAAAGTGGGGCTGTTGTTGGGGTTAAGGTGACTAAAAACACTGTCAGCAACTATATCATGTGCATACATTGTATTAACAGAGAAGACAAGTAGTAAAGTTCATAGATAAGTGGCAATTAATGGCAATTTGAATATTATAAATGAAAACCATCTTAAGTTTTTAAAAACCAAAGTAAAAACAGCAAAAAGAAATAAACTAAAATTACCTGATTGTGACTTGGTGATAGTGACAAGAGAGAAGGTGGCTCAACTGGAACCCTGACCCAAAAAAGGAAAAACCTTTTGATTCTGAGACAGACATGAGGAACAAGTAATCTTCTTATTATTAATGTAGCTTTCTATTAATCATAGACAAGCTGGCTATTTAACACTGCAAGAGTAACTTAATTTTGTAAACCTGAGCCTAAGCCATTAAATTAAACCATAGCAACACATGCTTCCAACTCACGTTTCTCGTCATGATATCCCTGATTATTCTACAGCCAGCTAACAACTGTCTGCGACAGCCAGCACTATGGAATGGTTAGTTGAGATCACTTTCAAGTGGTATCATTTCTTTATAACACATACAGCTACTATCTTCTTTGTGGGTAAACTGAGATGCTTTTATGTACAATGCCGTTTTATCCAAAGAAATCTGGAGTTCTACAGAATCTGCTAACTCTATTTATAAATAATTCCTACTCTTATTTTCATCTGAGTGAAATAATAACAAAAGTAAGATTATATTGAGATTTATTCTTCTTTTGTTTCCTTCCTTCCCTTTCTCTTCCCACCTTTCTTTCCTTTTCTTTCTTTTCTTTGTGGTAATGGGGATTTAACTCAGGGCCCTCAATGGTAATCAAGTGCCATACCACTGGAATTCATTTCCAGTCCTTTTAAAATTTTATTTTGGAGCCAGGGAGATGGCTCAGTCAAATAAGTGCTTCCCTGGCAAGCACAAGGGCCTGTGTTCAATCCCTGGTTCCGTAAAAAAAAGAAAGAAAAAAATAAAATAAAATAAAATTTTATTTTGGAAAAAAAATTATTTTAGGACAAGGTCTTACTAAGCTGCCCAAGATGATCGCTTATTTGCCCTACTTCTGCCTTGGTCTCTGCAGTAGGTGGGATATAAGTGTGTTCCACTGTGTCTCGCTGATTTTTACTCTTAAGAAAAGGTGAAACCCTGTTTGATGCTAAAAGGGAAGAACTACTTATCAGTATTCTTTTTTTTTTAATTTAATTAATTTATTAATTAATTTATTTTGTGTGTGTGTGTGGCCAGCTCAGCCCACCAGGGGGCGGGGCTGGCTGGCATGTGATGCTGGGGGATTGAACTGCGGTCCCTGAGCTTTGCTTAGCTTGTTCTAAGTAGGTGCTTTAGACCACTGAGCCATCTCACCAGCCCAGTATTAATTCTTATAATTTGGGAATTTATCTTTTTTTGAAGCTGATTTAGTGTTTTAGTCTCTGTAATCACATTTCTGTCTTAAACTAAAAATGGTAGAATTGTGACTTTCTGATTTCAAACTGGAAACATTATTAACTGTTAAGGTGTTTTAAACACATTGAAAGTGTGTTGTATGGGAAATTAAGGTAAATCCCACAAAGCTTTCACAGTTTCCTACTGTCTACTATTCCCCCCCTTGGGCAGTACGAGGGATTGAATCTATGGCCTTGTGTGTGCCCCCTGAGCATACACTGGGCTACACCCTCAGCCCCAACTGCCTCCCACCAATAATACACAGATGTGGCCAGTTTGCTGAAGCTGCTAAACTCATGCCTGAGAGGCTATTCCAGATAAAATACCAGGCCGTGGAGAGGCTAGCAGTCTCAGTGTATGTACAAGCTTGGGAAGTAATCTCATGTCATTCACACTTGCTCATAAATCCAGACCAGGCTCAATGGTATGGTCTTAATTCAATGAATGAGGAAATTTACTTAACTTCCCTACACCTCATCTTCCTCATTTATCCTCTACTGAGGATATTTATATGTATCTCAAAGCGATATTATGAAGTTTAAATGTTTCATGTATATGGAATATCATAAAATGCATATTCTAATGATTATGTATTTAGAATTACAGTAATTAACTACAGCTTTGTCCCAAGATTACTAGTTTCACTGCAAAACCTTTTAGTATCCCATAGTATATCTTTTACTAGCCATCTCTAGATAAAGGACCAAGTAAGTCCAACCCAAGCAGGTATATGTGCCCTAATCTGAATGCTGCTGTACAATGCTTTTTAATCTAATACATACCTTTGTTCTACTAAATTTCTGTACTTTTTCCTTCCCTCCCTCTCTCCCCTTTTTCTTTCACTTCTCTCTCCCATTCCCCTTCTCTCTCCTTCCTTCCTTCCTTTGTTCCTTTCTTCCTTTTCCCTTGTAATGCTGGAGACTGAATTTAAGATGTTTCACATGCTAGACAAGTGCTCTACCACTGGAGTATACCTCTGACCTTATTTTTTTTAAACTATGAGCTAGGGTCCTACCAAGCTGTCTAGGCTGGTCTCAAACTTGTAATCCTGTTGTCTCAGCCTCCAAGTAGCTGGGACACTAAGTGGGTGTCAGAAGGCCTAGCTAGCTACTCTTTTTACAACAAAGTGTCTTTACAAAGCTGGTCATATTCACTGTCTTCGCTTCACTGGCCCATTTAATTTTATGCTGGCTACAGTCTAGACATTGTCTTCCTGGCTCCAATAAACTGCTCTTTCAGCTCCTGAGTCTGCTGTAATAAACACTCCCAACCCAGCAGTTACTTCTTCTTCTTCTTCTTTTTTTTTGTGGAACTGGGGATTGAACTCAGGCCCTTGCGCTTGTGAAGGAAGTGCTTATTCTACTGAGCCATCTCCCTGGCCCCTAGCAGCTACTTCTTAGTCCTCACCTTATAAAACCTATCAGCTCTTGGTTATACTATTTGTCCCTCTCTACAGTTCTTAGGCCACCTTTCAGTCAGCCTGAGATATCATCCCCTTTTTCCATCCCCTGACCACTCTGCTGTGTTTCTTTTCCTACACATTCCTGCCCTAATTCCACTTTACTTCAGACTCATGTCTCTAATGCTTTAATACTTCCGAGTGGCTGTCCAGGCATCTTAAGTACAGCATAACCATAGCCCTACTTTTTCATCACATCCCCAAACCTGCCTTGTTCTGTTCAGTTGCCTTTTTTTTTTAAACTTGTATCAATCAATGTTTACAGCTATGACACAACATATACAAATACACATACATATTTGGTTCACAATGACCAGACTCCTTGATTTTTGTTGTTGTTACTGTTTAGTTTTTCTGAGACAAGGTCTCCCTATGTTCAGCTCAGGCGGACCTTAAACTCACCATGTACCCCAGACTGGCCTCAAACGATGGGCTGCTGCCTCAGCCACCCAAGTGCTGGGACTTTAGGCACGCACCACCTTGCCCCGCTCATTTATTGATTCATTTACTGATTTAATCGACCTTTATTGTGCTGGGATATAGATGTGCACCACCACACCTGGCTTCCTTTATAAATTTAAACATACCAGGCATCTGCTTACTTCAGGCCCTCTGCTTAGACAGCACAGCACTGTTCTCTCCATCAGGTTTCACTGAAATATCATCACCCCAAAGCATACTCTCCACCAGATGCTACATCTTTTGCTCTGCTTTATTTTCTTTTTCATAATATTTAGCAGACCATAATACATATTTGTGACATATATTTGTCTCTATCTACCTAATGGTAAGCTCTAAGCTATCAGTGACGTGGAAGAGAACCAGAACCATTTCAGTGCTCGGGAAATACTGTCGGAAGGAATGGAGTGGCACCATCCCCAAAGCAGACACATAGGAGACTAGCAACTGCAGGTTGACCTTTAGTCTTTCAAATCTTGGAATATCCTTGTACTGCAAGGGGGGCAATGAGACATTAAGAAAAAACAAGACAGGGCTGGGGAGATAGCTCAGCAGCATAAATGTCTGCTTGGCAAGTGCAAGGTCCCAAGTTCGATCCCTGGTACTGCAAAAAGAAAAAACAACACAAAGAAAAAAGCTGGGACCGGGTGGGACCTGACCCCTCTGATGGAGAGGCAATGGAAACCCAGCATGAATTTGTCTTTACTTATACAGAGGGAGAAAAGGGGAAATGCACAATGGGGCGGAAAGTGTATAGGCTCTGTTTTATTGAGAACACTGAAAGCGAAACGTTTTTAGAGCTATCTGTGCTGTAGTTAACAGAGAGAAAAACCAACGCCAGACACCTGCTGGACAGGCTAATTCCAACAGCTTGTCCTCCTGGCTCATCTCTGGCTCTTCATGTTTTGGGGGCCAGCCTTGCTCTAGCCCTAAATGTGTGGTTGATCTCCAGCTCTGCCGCTCCCCACACCTTGAGCCAAGAAAGTTACTTTAGTATCTGTAAGGCAGACTTCCAGCAGATCTCTGCTGCTTTATAAAATCAGATAATTAGGAGGGGAGTAGAAAGAAAGAAAAAAATGGAAACAGTTTTGTAAATGGAAAGAGGAAGGTTGAAGGAGGGTAGGGGAATGGGAAAAAAAGAATCAAGCTCTATCATAGGTACAATTCTCTATGATGAGTATGATCATTATGTAAATTTAAAATGTACCAATAAAATCTGATTTTAAAAATCACATAATTAATGTGAGCAGCTTTTCTAGCTTGCTAGGAAAAAAAAAAATCTTACAGGCTTTATCCAAATGCCTTTCAACTTCATACTGCCTCCTACAGAAGCCAGTGCACTTTGTAGGGCCTAGTTAACACATCCCTCCTGAGCTAATTAATGCTCAGATTAGAAGTAGACCTTTTTTTTTTTTAATTTATTTATTTATTGTGTGTGTGTGTGTGGCCAGCTCAGCCCACCAGAGGGCGGGGCTGGCTGGCATGTGGTGCTGGGGGATTGAACCGTGGTCCCTGTGCTTTGCTAAGCTTGTTCTAAGTAGGTGCTTTAGACCACTGAGCCATCTCACCAGCCCCAGAAGTAGACCTTTTTAAAAATGATATTTTGATACTTTTTAAATATATAATATTTGCTAGTTTCTACTTTAATATTATATAATTTTCTTTCTTTCTTTTTAAACAGTCTCCCTATATACTTCAGCCTGGCCTTGAAACTGCCACATAGCACAGGCTGGCCTCAAACTCACAGTGATCCTCCTCCCTCAGAAGGTGCTGGGATTATAGGCATGTGCCACATGCTTGGCTACAGTTATATAATCTATCCTGGTAAATAGCTAAAATATTCACCAATTGCAACTTCTGTTTACTGAAGAGAGAATCGTGGGGAGGATCAGAAAGGACACACACCAAGCGGGGAGGCAGAAGGGGGGTGAGAAGCAGTGAGCAGGTTTCCTTCCAGCTGGGGTGAAGAGGACCTGGGGAAGCCACAGGCAAGTAGCAGTTTGGTAACCACTGAGACCAAGTGACTTTGTCTTTCTAGGTTCTTTATTATTATTGAGCCTCATGGGGGGGATGACAAGGACATACCAGTAACCAAACTCAGGATCTTGCACTTACCAGGCAGATTCTAAAAGAGACATCTAAAAGCAGAAATTCTGGATAAGGTATATTAGGCAGGCTTGGAACCTTTGTCTTACTCCAAGAAATGTGTTATACTATATAGTATAGCAAAGGGGTCTTTGCAGATAAGTTACCAATCAGCAGACCTTAAATGGGGAGATGATTCAGGTGGGCCTAACATAGCCATATGCCCTTAAAAACAAAGGAGAAAACTAAAAGAATCAGTGAGATGAGCAGGAAGTGAAACTGATTCCTGGCAGGTGTATAGGAACAGGTCTCTCAACCCTACAGCTATATGGAACTGACTCCTGCCAACATGTCTGAGCCTGAACATGGACTCTCCCAAAATCTCCAGTCAGGAAGCTAGGCCAGCCAACAACTAGCCCTTGGCCCTGTGGGACCCTAAGCAGAGAACCAGGTGGGTCTGCCTAGTCCTCTACCCCATGGAACTATGATGTAATATACAGGTATTGTTCTAAGCTACTAGACTGGAAAGAGAACTGGTAGAAAACTAATTCATAAGGTAACTAAGTAAAATGCTGACTTCTACTTTGAGGATTTCTACTTAATCCTAGAGAACTTGAGCTTCACCAAGGATGGATCCAGGTAGTGAGAGGAAAGGAAATAAAAGTTAGGTTTGACCAGGGTAAATAAAAATGTAATAGGAAATCTGTACGTTAAACTGGATTATCAAGTCACTGAGAAAAGAAATTTCAAAGCATATAAAATTTAATTAAAATTCTTAGGAAATAAGTAGTAAGACTACAAAGGCCATCATAAGAGATTTTCATTCATGATCTTCTCTGCAGTTTCTTTATCCCATTATAATAGTCTCTGAGGTGATTTTAATATGCTATAAGTATGAAGAACTATGTATTAACAGTTCTACACAGTAAATTTACTATCATTTAAGAATAGGTATATTAACTGTTTTAAGACTCCATAAACATAGAAAGGAACCAAAAACTGGAAAATTTTCAACTGGGATAAAGTTTATGACAAGAAACCTTTTGGAATTCAAGAATGAGAAGCCATATTCTAAACAACCAAACTAATTTTAGAAACAGAGTCACTACATGTGGTAGAAATCTACCACTTAACTTAAAATTTTAAGCTAAAAAATAACAGTAAAAGTTTAAAAAACGAAAACTGAGAGTCAATAGTGGTAGTGCATGTCTGTAATCCCAGCTACTTAGGAGGCTGAGCCAGGAAGGCTGTAAGTTCCAGGATGCTCCAGGCAACAGGGCAAGAATTTGTCCCAAAAGGCTAGAGTGGGCAGTAGGGTGGCGAGCTGGGGATATAGCTCAGAATTCCTTGGGTTCAATCACCAGAACCATGCCATAAGTAAGTAAATAAATAAATAAACAGGACTTCTGAAAGGTCTTTAACATATTCACTGTGGAGCCACAATTTTTATGTCTCACTGCTGGGCTTGAGACACCAGTGGTACATGTGAGAATGTCCCATCAGGTAGCTTATTAATTTATTAGTAAAAAGACAGATAAAAGTCTTTAGATCTGTTTGTACCACCAGTGGTACAAGCCACCTGATTCAAATGAGCAAGAACACGCTAAGCCTTCTTTATGCATGGATCCACATTATCACCACAAAATCTCATTGCCATTAAGTACCTTCAAAGCAATTAATTGTACAGGTAACAGTTTAGGTGATCTGAATTTAGACTAAATCAATTCTACCTCTATTTTATGGCATAAGCACAAAAGCACACTGTCAATTTTAAGTGCATGGTTTCTAAAGTACATAGCATAGTATCTAAACATCTTAATTATATGGATCTGCACAAAACAAAAATCACTTCACACCTTATTACTGAGATTGAAGATGGAAACAGTAAGTAGAATTGTTTTCTCAAACCTGTTTTGATATGAACATCGTCTTATGTCTTCCGGTTTTGGAAACTCCCTAATAGCTGCTGGCTTTACTGGTGAACCCTAGATGAAAACAGCATAAATAAATCAATGTAAAATATGCATCCAGAACACTACGATCAGTATATCCCTTACATATGACTTGACATTTAAAGATTTGTAAATTACAAGAAGAGGTATTTTAATATAATCTCAAATATGAACTCATTTTTAAAGGTATTACAAGTTACATGACATATGCTTTCATAAAAATCATAATCTACATTTTAAAGAAAGATTTCCTTCTTGTTGTATTATGTAAATTACAGTGACCCAATATAGCAATATTTCTTGAGTGGTAAGAAAGGATTTTGAATGTCATTTGGTACAATCTTCAGCTAGAATAGGACTCCTACCTTCTCTAATGCAGTATCTGCTCAGTTTCTCTTGAACAGCTATTGTAATTGGGAGTTCTTTAGACAGATTATGTTTCTTTACTTTTTTACTACCACAAACTGTTACCTTAGTCATACAACTAGTCCTGAAGATACTGGTGGGATATCAAGATAAAACGTAATTTTTATGTATGGTAAAATACAATGTTAATGAAAAGAGAAATAGTAGTGGCAGTTTACAGTTTTTTTTTTTTTTTTTTTTTGGTTTTGTTTGTTTAATGTATTTGGTATGGGGTCTCAGTACACAGCTCGGACTCCTAGTGATCCTCCTGTTTTCAGCCTCCCCAGCACTGGGATTACATGTGTGCAACACCACGCCCACTCTCAGAGGCTGGTTTAGCATGCCCAGGGGCGGGGCTGGCAGGGCCTGTGGTGCTGGGAATTGAACCATGGTCCTGTGCTTGCATAAGCAGGTGCTTAGTCCACTGAGCTATCTCATTGGTTCACAGGTTATTTTTGAAAAGCATCACTGAGGAAAGTTGAGTTGGCTGAACTGATAGAGATCACACACTAAAAAAATAAAAAAATAAATTTGAGGCAGTCTTAATGGTTTACACAGTACATATTTTGTAAGATGAGAATCTTATAGAAGCAATAAAAATCTATTTCAATATCAAAATTAATCATGATAATGAATAATCTATAAGCAAAAATAAGAAAACATCTTCTCCAAAAAGAATACCTAAAAATCTAGATTGGGACCAGGGAGATGGCTCAATGGAATAAGCGCTTCCCTGGCAAGCACAAGGGCCTGAGTTCAATCCCTGGTTCCGCAAAAATAAAAAATAAAAAAATGAAAATCTAGTTTAATAGTATTCACAGCCTACCTCTAAGAAATAAGTATATCATATTTAACTGGAAGATCTTTGACAGTTACTCCAAAGTGCTAAAAGCTAAATGCCTTAAAGTTAGGTCACAACAATCAGATTGAATGATTTCAAATCTAGAATCTTGAGAGAATTAATTATTCTCAGTGACTAGGTCATTCTTTTTTAATAAGCAAAACTTTTTCCTAGAAGGTTATATCAATGACTTACTCACCCTGGTTTTATGATATTGCCACCACCTAAAATTATTATTAGAGGTACTGATTTAATTTAAAAAATTAGCATAAGTTACAACATATTCAGGTAGAGGTGGTATATGTATAGGAGTGGTATAATAAAACTAAAGAATAGCAGACCATTTAATACCTCAAATAAATTAGTTTTTTAATAATGTTTTTTCAAAGACAACATTTAGGAACACAAGGTATTTGTCCAGTTTGTTAAAACATCTAAAGTAATACTGCTTCTCCACATTTTACTGATTGCCAAATTTTAGGAAGCTTTATGACACAGAAATCATACAGCCTTAGGATACAGTCATAAAAACTATCATATATAAGCAAATTAGAATTTAAAAACACAGTACTATAAAAGAGCCAATCTAATGATTAAAGAAATGGCAGTATTGTTTTTCATTATACTATAAGCATTTTCAATTATAGGAGATACCCCATTTATATAACCACAAAATGATCAAAGAGAATGATCACAAAAAAGATTATAAAGTGACATTATTAATTTTATTGCAAATAACTATTTTGCAAAGAGGCTAATAGCATGAGTCATAAGAAATTCATTCATCACCTGCCTATTCCTGATTTGAATGTGGTCTTCTGAACAACAACAAAAAGTACTGTGTTCAAGCCTTCAAACAGGAAAACCAAAGGACTCTTTAAAGAATGATACTATCACTCTGCAGCATGTTCCATTTCATTAATTTGTTTCTGAAAGGCCAAATACATGGTTCTGTAAAAAGACCCCATGTGTTTCTCAAATAACCCCTGCTTAGGGCTAGGGACAAACTCCAGACTTCGACATCACAGACATGAAGATGGAGCCATTTATCAGGCTGACTGGATGCACTGAAGAATGCTGTTCTCCTTTAGACCCTGGGGGAACTGGCAGAGTCTGCAGTGGGCTGAATGCACATTTGTTTTCTAGGGCAACTCAATCTTAGAATTTTAATAGCAAACAATTTATGTTCTGTTAACTTAGGATAAAACCTCCAATATAATTAAGCTTATTATAAAAATTTTATGGGTTAAGTTGTACGTTATCACAAAGTTAACTTTTTGGGCTTCATTCTTACACTAATCAATCACACTATGACTTGTCAGTTAGTTTTAATAAAAAAGTAAAACAAAAACAAAGAAACACAATGGAAATTATCTGCTTCCTCTGTATTTTCTTCAAAGACATTGTTACTCTTTTTTACTCTTTCTTCAAAATTATGGAATTTGTTTTCTTACTTAAAAAATAAATCTAAGCCGGGCATTGTGACACACCCTGTAATTCCAGCACTCAGAAGGCAGTACCAGGAGGACCATCACAAGAGTGATGAGACCGACCTGGGCCACAAAGTGAGCTCAGGGCCAGCCTGAACTGCACAGGGAGACCCTGTCTCAAAAAAAGATAAAAGTAAATAAATAAATCTAGCCAGATATGGTGCTGTAAGCACTTGGGAGGCTGAGGCAAGTAAATAAATTAAATCTAGCCAGACATGGTGCTGTGTGTAATCTGAGCACTTGGGAGGTTGAGGCAGGACTGCTACAAGTCTGAGGTCATCTTGGGTTACACAGTGAGTTAGAGGTCAGTCTGAATAGCAAGACCCTGTCTCAAAAAAAAAAAAAAAAAAAAAAAAAAAAAAAGCCAAATATACAAACAAAAACCTGAATTCTACTTGAGACTATTGTCTGATTTTCAAAATCTCAAAAACGAGAGGACTAAAATTAGAAGGAAACATTATGATGAGCAATTAGCCCTAGGCCAATAAGCTGCTGCTATGAAGAATATATTCTGCCAGGAGCTGCCTAAACCTGTGCTAATCTTCAGGGTGCACCACCTCACGCGAGATCCGCCGCTGTTCGATGTAGGCCAGGAACTGTGAGCTGAGGCTGTCGGAGTCCAGGGCCCGGGGCTGTCTTCCTTCATCCTCTTCTTCCTCTGTAGCGCAGCTGTCAATGTAGTCGATCTGATCTAAGTCGTGTTCCACTGCAGACACCACACAGAGAAAACACTCAAATGAGACAGCTGATAAAACATTTGCTTACACTATATTCTCTCCTTTCCTCTAACATATTTTATTCTGAAAGTGGAAAAAAGGACACAAGGCTTCAGTCTTCATAGTCCAGCCAGGGAGATAGCTCAGTAGAATAAGTGCTTGCCTGGCACTTATTCCATCCCTGGTACCACCAAAAAAAGAGAGAGTCTTCATAGTCCATTGCCACTCTCAAAACAAGTTCCCTGAAAATCTTAGTCCAACCTCACTAAAGAAAGCTAATAATGGTAATTACTGAAAGACTTAATTACTTATTTCTTTGGATAGCTCCTCAAAGTTTTAAACACAACTGTTTGAGTCTGTGAGATGAGAAGACTAATTTTTTTTTTTTTTTTCAGAACCAGGGATTGAACTCAGGCCCTTGCGCTTGCCAGGGAAGCGCTTATTCCACTGAGCCATCTCCCCGGCCCCAGAGAAGACTAATTTTTAATGACCAAAAGGTCCATCTTTTAATTTTGGGGAGCTTAGTCTGTTTTTGGGTTGGGAAACAGAAAAACCTAACAGTTAACTCCAAGGAAAGTAAAGGCAATAAAAATGACAAGAGTAGCCAGGCTTGGCAATGCACATCTATAATCCCAGCTATTTGGGAGGCTGAAACAGGAGCATTAGAAGTTTGATGCCATCGAGGGCAACAAAGTATGGGCCTCCTCAATCAATTATTCCATCAATCAATAAAAAATAAGGAAAAGAAAGGGTAGGAAGAAACCGGACTTGGAGAGAAAGAAAATTATTGACTAACATTTCACTTCCTATAGCTTTTGTTGAATGTATTTTAAAAAACCATGACCAGAACAAAGATTTTTCTATTTAGAAAATTAACTGCTAAGGGTTGACCTTGTACATATTTTGCAGTAATTTGTGAATGAAAGAGAATCATTTAAGGAATTTTTTTCTTTTCAAGATGCTTCAGAGTGAAGAAAGCATTATTAAAGACATAGCTGCATAACTGTTTCATCCAGTAAGTTTTAGAATGTCCTATTGTTAAGTTTAAAACTAATTACACTTAGTGAATATTTAAAACCATACACTAGGAAAAAACCGTTGCTACTAGATGGTTTCTTTAGAGACGCAATAAACCCCAATCACTTTATGGGATTTTTTTTTTTTTTCTTGAATGCCTTCAGGGCACTTTTGGCCATTAGGAGAGTTGTGAGGTTCGAACTCCAGCAACCTGAGGCTGACAGCTTTGTGGCGGCAGCCACTTAAAGGACTGAGCTAGGGCCAGGCCCCCCCCAAATCACTTTATGATGCTTTATTTATTTATTTGTGTGTGTGTGTGTGTGTGTGTGTGTGTGTGGCTAGCTCAGCCCACCAGGGGGCGGGGCTGGCTGGCATGTGGTGCTGGGGGATTGAACCACGGTCCCTGTGCTTTGCTAATCTTGTTCTAAGTAGGTGCTTTAGACCACTGAGCCATCTCACCAGCCCCTATGATGCTTCTTAAGCTGCCTGTAAGTGCAGTTGCTGGGAACAGTGAATTTGGAGAAGTCTAGTTATCAATTTAGTTTTCTGATTAAATTTTTTATAACATTCTAAAGCTGCAATTATTAAAAAATAAAATTTGAATTATTAGGATTTGCTCATAGCTACAAAGGATGAAAAGGTTCTAAATCTATATCCACATTAGACACCAAGTATATAAATGCAGTTTTTGCAAGCTGCTACAATTTTTTTTTTTTTTTAACTAGGGATTGAACTCAGACCCTCACGCTTGCCAGGGAAGCACTTATTCTACTGAGCCATCTCCCTGGCCCCAGTGCTACAATTTGTCTGACTATAAAATTTATATTGTGACTACTTTCCAAGGCAGCAACATCATTTTTTCATACTATTTATACAGTGGAGTCCAGAAGAAAAGAAAGCAATCTACAAAAGGGAGCCATGTAAGTAATTTTAAATTTTTTAGTAGCCACATTAAAAATAAAGGCAGATGGATGCTGTGGAGAAGGCTAGTTAACCCAGCTACTTGGGAGGCTGAGGTAGGAAGATTACTAGTTCAAGGCCAGCCTGAGCAACCTAATCCTCTGTGCCTCAGTATAGATACACAGATACAGACACATATGGAGTAGGAATGCAGCTTAGTGTAAAATTTTGGAGTCAAGCCCTAGTAATGTAAAACAATCCATTACCCTACCACTCATGAAGAATGAAGAAAAGGGTTTTTTTGTACTAGGGATTGAATTGAGGGCCTTCACACTAAGCTATACTCCCCAGTTCTTTAATTTTTTTTTTTTTTTTTTTTTTTTTTTTTGTTCCTCGAATGCCTTCAGGGCACTATTGGCCAGCGGGAGAGGTGTGAGGTTCGAACTCCAGCAACCTGAGGCTGACAGCTTTGTGGAAGCAGCCACTTAAAGGCCTGAGCTAGGGCCAGGCCCCCTAGTTTTTTAATTTTTTCCTTTTTTTTTTTTTTTTTTTTAATTTTTATTTATTTGTGTGTGTGTGTGTGTGTGTGTGTGTGTGTGGCCAGCTCAGCCCACCAGGGGGCAGGGCTGGCTGGCATGTGGTGCTGGGGGATTGAACTGCGGTCCCTGTGCTTTGCTAAGCTTGTTCTAAGTAGGTGCTTTAGACCACTGAGCCATCTCACCATCCCAGTTCTTTAATTTTTGTTTGTTTGTTTTGTTTTGAGACAGGGTCTTGCTAAGTTGCCCAGCCCAGATTTAAGTCCTTATTGCCCATGCTGGGTTTGAATTTGTGACTGTCCTGCTTTAGCATCCTAGAAGGTTGAGATTAGAGGTGTAAGCCACTGTGCTTGACTAATATTTTTTATGTTGCCCAGTATATGTAAGTGTTATTTTAACACATAACTAAAATGATAATTTTTTTTCAAAATCTTATGTGTATTTTATATTTATAGCACATCTCAATTCAGGAAAACAACTTTTTTTTGGAGACAGAGTCTCAATATTAACATAGACTGGGCTCAAATTCAAGACTGGGTGTGGTGGTACACTCCTGTAATCCCAGCTCTTGGGAGGCTGTAAACAGGAGAATCACTACAAGTTTGATCTAGTAGGGAGACCGTGAATACTCTATAGACCCTTCCCTAAAATACAAAAAAAAAGAAGTAGTACTATACAAGGAAGTAAAAAGATTATCTGCTTGTTCTATAAAATCTGCAAAATTGTAAATGTCAGAACAAAGAAAACATTCAGGAGCCCTGAAGAAAATTATTGTAGTTGAAAGAAAAGGTAAACATTAAGGACACACTGAATTCCTGCAAAAGAATAAATCATTGCTTAAAAAAGAGAAAATGGTACTGTCTCTACTAAATTTCCTCCCAAAATAAGAATGGAAGACACACATTTTTCACTACAAATCTGAAAATAGAAATTAAAGTCTCATGCCTGAGTAAAATAAGTTTTTCTTGTCATTATGTGAAAAGAACAGTGAAAAACCTACATATACCAAACAAAAGAATGGATGTGGAAAAAGACTACTTAAAAAAAAAAATAGAAAATTAAAAAGCTTAGATGTCATTATTCTGTTTACCTCCACCATTTGTTACAACTAAACAGTTCCGATTCTCTTGGTATTGGCTTTCTCTTCGTAGTCTTTGTTCTTTAGTAATTTCTGCTACCCGAAGAGGCAGATCTGAAAATTCATCTGTAGGCTTAAAAAAAGTAGAAACATTAAAAAATTTACCTCCAATTTTGGCCAACATATTTAAATATGGACATAATATAATCTAGTTAAAATTAACATTTAGGAAGAAACAGCAAAGTCATTTTTGGCTTTAGGTGCTGGGATTAAACCCAGTGCCTCATATATGCTGGACAATAAGTTTTACGGCTCAGCTGCTTTCCCAGCCCATCAAAAAAAATTTTTTTTGAAAGGGACAGCAAAGATGGATACACAACACAATGTGAATAAATTTAATGTAAGTGGAATGGACTCTTTTCTTTGGAGACATCGTCCTGTCTCAGCCTCTGGAGTACAGGTATTACAGGCATGTGCCACTATGCCCAGAAAAGAATGTTTAAAAATGGTTAAATGATAAAATTTGCTATAGCTATTCTATCATAGTCAATAATGAGAATAAGGACATTCTTTATAAATATATACAGATTTATGATCTATGAACATAACTCTATGGATACAGTCACCCAGAGAGAGGTACATAAGCAATTCCAAATTACAAATAGGTTGACTTAGATTTAATTTGCTTTGGACTCCCAATGAAACAATGTTATAAAAACTGGATGTTACCAATCCTGCCTAAAAAAAAAAAAAAAAAAAAAAAAGCTCATCTAACCATTTAATCCAATTTAAGGCTTAGCAAATTTTAAAAAGCAGAAAACACAATGGCAATAATTTCTTTTTCTTTTGAGACAGTCTCACTACATAGTCTAGGCTGACCTTGAACTATGTAGCCCTGGCTGGCCTTAAACCAAAGTGATCCTCTTGACTCAGTCTCTCAGAGTGCTAGGATTACAGGCATTGCTACCCTGCCCAGATCAATAATTAAACAAAAACAAAGAGCAATCTCATTTTGACATGTGGATGTTCTTCTTTTCTTTGCTCACAGGAATGTGGATATTCTTCAGCAGGTTCCCATCTCTACCCATCAGCCTAGAGTCCTATTTTCTCTTGCCTTCCAGGATTCCTTTTACCTCTGCTCCAGACTATCCTGACTTCAAACTGTAGGGCTGTTTTAACTGACAATTCCTGTTTGTTTTCTAGACTATAGGACTATTTATGAAACAAGGAAGTAATAAATAGAATACACATGGTAAAAGGATGGTAAATACTTTGTGGGTGGAGGGGTCCTGGGGGTGGAATCTGGGGTTTCACATACTAGGTAAACACTCTTACTATATCGTTAGCCCCAGAATTTTTGGATCAAAGGGCATGAGATTTTTGTACCTGCCTTTACTTTCCTGTATTTTATGCCCTAAGAAACCAAACCCAAGAGGCTGTTCCCCTTTTACCATGTTTTTTTCTCTTAATCAGGACTTCAGCATATGAAAGAGACACTCACCTCATTACCTGACCACCGTTTATCGCCACTGTCCACACTATTGAAACCTGAATCGAGGGCTCCATAGGGACGACCTGAGTATAGTTCTTCATGGCTGCCAGAAAGAAACTAGCTTTTACTGGAAAGCTTGATATCTTCCCTTGATCTTAGCCAAAGGGATGGGAAGCAATTTTAGTGTCTGGTATCTTAAAACATAAAATAAAACATATTTTACTAATAAACATTTGCATGGAGTTTAGTCCTTTATTATAATTTGAATACATTCAAGTGCATAGATCTCAGTTGTACAATTGTGACAAATAGCTACATCTCTGTCCATACACCTCCATCACATGAGGATATTTCTGCTTTACCAGAAGGTATTTGCCCACCATTCCTTCCCAGTCAATTCCTCCTTGTGCTGCCACTGTGTGCTTCACAAGGAAAATCCCTGCTCACTTTCTTTTAAATTATTAAATTAGTGTGGAAGGCTGAACAATGGTCCCTAAAAAGAGCCACAACCTCATGTCTGGAATTTACACTTCACATGGCAAAGGGAATGAAGGTTGTAGATGGGAATAAAGTTGCTGGCAAACTTCTTTTTAAAGGGGGAGATTATCTTGGTTTTAGAGTGAGCCTAATTGAAAGTGTCCTTGTGTTTGTCTTTGGTGTTCCAGCCTCTACTTCACAGTTCTCCTTCCTCAGCCTCCAGAGTGCTGCTTGCAAGTGTCCTTAAATGTGGAAGAGGGATGCAGAACAGGGCAGTGTGATTCCATGTTGGCTTGAGGATGGAGGATGAGTTCTGGGAGCCAAGGAGTGCAGACAGCCTCTGAAAGCTGAGAAAGGCAAGAAAAGGATCCAACCCAGGGTCCAGAGAAGGCCAGCCCTCTTGGCACCATGAATTAGCCCAATGACATTGTTCAATTTCTTTTTTTTTTTTTCTTGTGGAAACAGGGATTGAACTCAGGCCCCTGCGCTTGCCAGGCAAGCGCTTATTCCACTGAGCCATCTCCCCAGCCCGACATTGTTCGGGTTCAATTTCTGACCTACAGAATCAGAGCAAAAACTGCACTGCTTAAGCACCTACATTTGTGGTAATTTCTTTTTTTTTTTTTTTTGTGGAACCAGGGATTGAACTCAGGCCCTTGCACTTGCCAGGGAAGCACTTATTCCATTGAGCCATCTCCCCAGCCCCTATTTGTGGTAATTTCTTATGACAGCAACAGAAAATGAATAAAATTTGTTTTATTTATTCTAGAATTCGGGGGGCCAGGGAGATAGCTCAGTGGAATAAGTGCTTGCCTGGCAAGCCCAGGGTCCTGAGTTCAATCCCTGGTTCTGCAAAAAAAAAAAAAAAAGGTATATTTATTCTAGAATTTAGAAAAATGGAGTCATATACTCTTTGTGGCTTTTTAGGGGAGGATCAGCAACACATCAGTAAGATTCAGGGTGTTTTTATATCCCTTCTTATTGCCAAGTAACATTCCACTTAATGAATATGTAATTTTAAAATTCTGGGGCTAGGGAGATAGCTCAGTAGAATAAGCACTTTCCTGGCAAGCGCAAGGGCCTGAGTTCAATCCCTGGTTCCGCAAAAATAAATTAAATAAATAAATAAAATTCTGTTTTCTATTGATAGTTGTTTTTAATTTTTGGTTGCTATGAATAAAAGTGCCAAGAATATTCGTGAATAGATCTTTTTTTTTTTTTTGGAACTGGGGATTGAACTCAGGTCGGCAAGCACTTACTCTACTGAGCTATCTCCCTGGCCCCTGAATAAATCTTTGTAAGACTTTGCTTTCATTATTCTTGGAGTAAAATAAGTGGTTTATATGCTAAGTGCAGATTGATTTTTATTTTTTTAATTTTAATTTTAATTTTTTTGGTGGTACCAGCGATGGAACTCTGGACCTTGCGTTTGCCAGGCAAGCACTTATTCCACTCAGCTATCTCCCCAGCCCCCTGCTAAGTGTAGGCTTATTTTAAAGAAAAAAACCATATCAACTTGTTTTCAAAGTAGCTACGTTATTTTGCCTTCCTACCAGCAATGTATTCAAGTTCTTTTTGGTGTTTACTGGTCATTCATTTAGTTTATTGTGTTAAAAGTAAATTGCTTAAATCCACTGCTCATTTTACAATTATTTATTTTTTGAAACTATTTTATGGGTTTTTAGTTTCACTGAAATTCAAAATTTCGGGCTGGTGAGATGGCTCAGTGGTCTAAAGCACCTACTTAGAACAAGCTAAGCTAAGCAAAAGCACAGGGACCACAGTTCAATCCCCAGCACCACATGCCAGCCAGCCCCGGGGGGCTGCCCCCTGGTGGGCTGAACTGGCCACACACACAAAATAAATAAATAAATAAATAAAAAATTCAAAATTTCCAATTTTAAAAACACGTCAAAAAATGAAGATGGGTTATGGGTTGACATCGGTATTATTTTCCATTGTTAAAATGCAACATCAATGCCTCTCAAAAATATTTTGCTAAGCAAAAGAAATCAGACTCACTATGCTCCATACTCTGATTCAGTTTAGATGAAGCTCTAGAAAGGCAAAATTCTACTATCATAAAGCAGATCAGGGATCTTGACAGTGGGGTAGAGGGACACGCAAGTAGTGGAACTGTTGCATATCTTGGCTGTACTGGTGTTTTCTTAGTAACTATTAACTTACCAAAACTAACTGAAGTATACACGTAAAAGAGGTAAATTTTGCTTGTAAATTATTCTCAATAGAACTGTTACAAAACCCCAGAGAAGTACTAAACTATTTCATGTAAGTGGACATACCCTGCTTTAAGAAATGTATGAGAGCACTGGCTGATGCCACATCCTCACCAATAATTGGAGTCAGTTTTAATTTTCATCACTCTAGGGGATTTGTACTGACATCCAGTGACCCCATTTGCATTGATTTTCTATGATGACCAATAACATTGACTACTTTACTGTGTTCTGACTGTCCATTCATAACTCTCTTTGTGAAGAGGTCTGTTCAAGTCTTTTGTTCACTTTTCCATAGGCTTTCTCTCTTGTGTGTGTATGCTCATGTGTGTTTGTGTTTTAACTCAGGGTTTTGCACTGAGCTATAACTCCAACCCCTCTTCATTATTATTTTTTAAAATTTTGATCTGGGCTCAAACTTGCGGTCCTCCTGCCTCAACCTTAAGTGCTGGGATTACAGACATGGGCAACTCCATGTGGTTTATTTCTTTATCATTAAAATGTAGGTATTATTTATCTGAATACAAATTGGTGGTCACAACTTTTTTATTTTTTTATTTTTTCAGACAGGTTTTAGGTAGGCCAGGCTAGCCTAACATGCAATTCTCTTGGCTCAGCCTCCTGAGTGCTGATATTACAATGTATAAGCACCACACCTAGTGATAGAGCATTACAAGTCACGAAGTATATTTCATTTGAATTTGTTCATCAAACATTTATTGAATGCCACATAGTGTTCTGGGTGCTAAGAACATACGTATGAATAAAGCATGGTCACTGCTTTCAGGAGCTCAGGCTTGTTGGGGAGAATTCATTCCACTGGTGGGGTTACAGAGGCAGAACTTTTCCTATTAATGCCTTAGTCTCTCCTCAGTTTCACTGCCACATCATCGTAAATAAATGCAGTTAGTCTGTAACATAAAGCTGCTTAAAATCAACAAAAAGCAATGGTCCTATAAGTTAATAATTAAAAACACTGCCACTGTTAAACAAAGATTATCACAACAGTGCAATTTACTAAAGGAGTTGGAAACATATCGGCAAATGAATTAAAAAATTTGAACTCTATATTACATAAAAACAGAAAGTTACAGGTAAAGATTGAAAAGATTATTAAATTTTGTCTTTTGCAAGGCTAGATTCTCCCTAAACTGGTGCTGGCCTACTTCTAATGTTTATGTAGGGCTTTCTGGCTTGCTAAATCCTTTTGGACACAGGCCATCTGATCCTCAGAACAAATGCTAAAATAGAAATAGTGTACACATCATATGGAAGAAAGTGAAATTTGGAAGTTAAATGAACTGACTGACAGTACAGGGAACCAAAACCAAGGTCCTCTGGTTCCATGTCAGCACAACAAATCAATGAACAGCCAACTACTGTGCAGTTCTGTTGATCTACACCTTCGTTAAGAAACATCTGAAGGTACAATATCTCATTCACTAGTGCTTGAGGAGCTGAAAGAATTATTATATATACTGTTATCCTCTGTTATTCAAGAGGAATTGTTCAAGGATATACCACAGATACCTAAATCCAGGGTTTCTCTATACACAGCTTCCAGTGGAATATATATCGGAGAAAGGGTCTTACTGTGTTGTCAAGGCTTACCCAAGTTCCTATTCACAAATTTGTTAGCAGAGCTAAAGTTAGTATTCAAGTCATTAAGACTAATGGATTTCAGCTGGCTCCTCACCAGAGGACACTGACAATGTCCAGAAACATTTTAATTTGTCACACTGGGAGGGTGCCAAGGATGCTGTTGAACTTACAAGAGGATTGCCCTGCACAACAGTAATTATCTGGTCTAAAAAAGTATCAATAGTTCCAAAGCTGAGAAACCCAGACTGGAACTGTACTTTGTCAGATCAATGCAATTGATTTTATATTTATGCAGGTATTCAGAGTAACATGTTAAAGCAAATTATTTCTCTCTAGGCAATAATTCAGGCAAATTAAAGGACCCAGTATATGTGATTCTCTGTGTGAAGAAATATGACAGATCAAAAGTGTAGAACATACGCACCAGGAACCAAAGCCCAATGGTCTCCTATCGTAATCCGGCAGGTCTGGAGCTATCTTACAAGCTTGCATGTTCAGGTATTTAAATATGTGGATTTTCCCTTTTATGCATATCTAAATAAAACAGCATAAAAGTGAAACCAAACAGTTAGTTATCTGAAACACACATACTCTTTTTTTGTAAAATTATAGCCAGCTTTTCATATAATGTAAATTGGGGCTAGGCAACTTTTTTTTTTTTTAATGTATTTTTAGTACAGAGTCTCACTATGTAGACTGGACTTGGAGTGATTCTCCTGTTTTCAGCCTCCCAAGTGCTAGGATTTCAGGTGTGTGCCACCATACCCAGTCTTAATCACCCTCTCAGCGCATGGGGGTGGGGGCAGGGGAAAGGCATTGCACACTGGGGATCAAGCCCTGGCCACTGCATTCTGCCTAGGCAGGCCCTTTAGTCCACTGAGCTATCTGGCTGGCCCTGGAAACTTTTGATTTTAGAAATTTTATATATATATATATATATATATATATATATATAATCTACCACGTACACATAAAGCTGCTTAAAATCAGCAAAAAATATATGCATATATGCTTTTGAACCTGCTTTCCATAGGAGAGGAGCAGGAAATGACAACAAAGTTATACAGATATATGTTTCTTTTTTTTCAGATATATGTTTTTGTTACTATCTGTCCCACAAGCCTAAATGTATAACGCTAACAAAATTAATTCTAGCAGGTGCAGTGACACACACTACTAGCCAGCGCTCTGAGAGGCTGAGATAGGAGGAATACAAGCTCAAGTCCCACTTGGACAACTTAGCAGGACCCTGTCTCAAAATTAAAATTTTAAAAAAGGATTTGGGATGTAGTTCAATGGTAGAGTGCCCTGGGCTCAATTTCTCAGTATTCTTACCCCCCCACCCAACACACACACACACACATTTGCATATATAAAATTTGGTTCAGTGCTATTTTAGGTATTTAGCTATTAAATATATTTTTGTTTTCTAGTCATTAGTAAGTGTTAGTAAAATAGAAATTTTTAAACTGTTACAACAGCAAATACATGTATTATACCATGCGTACCGAGGAATTTAAAAATTTCTCTCCCATACATTACGCTGACAACTTTTGATTTTAGAAATCTAGCAAGTATGCTATATATGCTTTGAACCTGCTTTCCATAGGAGAGGAGCAGGAAATGAGGCAGCCACTGAGCCTGGGCTTGGTGGTGTGCGCTCATACTCCCAGAGCTTAAGAGGCTGAAAACAGGAGGATCACTAGGAGTCTGACCTGTGCAGTGAAACCTTGCAGACCCTGTACTAAAAATGAAAAAAAAAAAAAAAAAAAGTTTAAAAAAGATGAAGTTTAAATGTAACTTTTACAGATAAAGACTACTATAGGCTTATATAAAATCATCAATAAATTGAACAGTTTAAAAAATAGCTACAAAGGCTGGCCAAATAGCTCAGCAGATTAAAGTGCCTGCATGCAGGTACAGGGGCTGGGGGTTCAATCCCTGGCCCTGCTGTGCGAGTCTTGCCTCTGGGGTGCACTGGGACGGCAACTAAGACTGGGAGTGGTGACGCGTGCCTGTAATCTCAGCACTTGGGAGGCTATAAACAGGAGAATTGGGCTGGTGAGATGGCTCAGTGGTCTAAAGCACCTACTTAGAACAAGCTTAGCAAAGCACAGGGGCCGCGGTTCAGTCCCCCAGCACCATGTGTCAGCCAGTCCCGCCCCCTGGTGGGCTGAGCTGGCCACACACACACACACACACACACACACACACACACAAATAAATATTTTAAAAATAATAATTAAAAAAAAACAAAACCAGGAGAATCTCTAAGAGTCCGATCTAGTAGTGAGACCCTGAACACTCTGTAGACCCTTCCCTAAAATATTACAGAAAAAAATAATAAAAATAAAAATAAAAAATAGCTACAGTGAAAATTAAGGGTTGGTAAACATTTTGGGCTGGTGAGATGGCTCAGTGGTCTAAAGCACCTATTTGAACAAGCTTAGCAAAGCAAAGGGACCACGGTTCAATCCCCCAGCACCACATGCCAGCCAGCCAGCCGCGCCCTCTGGTGGCCTGAGCTGGCCACACACACACACACACACACACACACACACACACACACAAATAAATAAATAAAAATTTAAAAAAAAAACATTTTATAGGACTGTAGGATGTCTAGGATCTATACATAAGCCTACCTTATAATTATTATTATACTAGTTTCATTACTGTCAAATGAATAAATTGGCTAAAGCATTTATGAAAGCACAGAAACAATGACAACAAGAATGCACTAATAATCTTTACTTTGAAAGGTATTTTTATTAGTCTCTAGCCTTTATGTTTTTTACATTCAATTTTTACTACAAGAAAATTAAATAAATTTTTTTTTTCTTTATACTGGTGATCTAATTCAGTACTCTACCCCTGAGTTACATCCCCTCAAAGTAAGGTCTTCTTTTTGACAGAACTAGGGATTGAACTCATGCCCTTGTGCTTGCCATGCAAATGCTTATTCTACTGAGCCATCTCCACGGCCCCATCAAAGTAAATAATTTTATTTTGAGACAGAGTCTCACTGAGTTGCCCAAACTAGCTTCAAACTAGTGATCCTCCTGCCTCAGTCTTCTGAGTTCAAGCATGTGCTGCCATGCCTGGCTCAAATTTTATTATAAAAACAATTTCGGAATTCCTCAAATTAAAAAATGACAAATTAGTGAAAGGAAAATACTTCTGGAGCATTATCCAACTTCTACCCATTTATTCAAGCTTCTATACAATGTGAAATAATTTTAAAAGAACTTAATTTACAACAGAAAGATAAATACACATCATTATATTTTATTCTTCATCAAAAAAAAAAAAAAATTCCCACTACCTATTTGTACTGTGTTTTACCTGTGCAGGAGGTGACTGGAGCGGGTTATTATCTAGGGTGATCACCTGCAGGTGCCTGAGGTTCCGGTAACAAACAGGGATTGCTGTGACTTTATTACAGGAGAAGTCTAAACGTATCAAAGGCAGCTCTGCAAGCTCTGTGTGAGGGGTAAATGGAAATGAACAATTAATGGTATTTCAGAGCTACACAATTTCTACATAAGCTTCCAGTTAAATATGATGGGTTGAATAGGTATTTACTTAGATCCTTGGTGACTACCTGATGTAACAGGGGTATAAACTAAAATATACTAATAAAAAAATCAAACAGTTTGGCCCCACACAAAGGCACAGAAATTCTTAGAAGCTGGAGGCACCAACATGACAAAAAGGTGATTAGATGACAGTCTATAGAAGCAGTTAGATGTCTAGCCCTCTCCAATAACCTACAGAAGTCACAAGTTATTCTCTAAAGAAAGTGAACCAAAAGGGCTCTCAATGCAGGGACCCCAGGACCTATGCGAAGCTAGCCAAAAGGGGAGGATTTACGTGGAAGACTCCACACTTAAGCATCATCCTTCAATGCTTTTCACTGCAGGCCACTTCATTCCACATTTTAAAAGGCAGCAGTAAGGGCTGGGGAGATAGCTCAGTAGAATAAGCAAGCAAGGGCCTGAGTTCAAGCCCCGGTTCTGAAAAAAAAAAAAAGAAAGAAAGAAAGAAAAAGAAAGGCAGCAGTTAAGAATTCACTTTGGGCCGGGGAAGATGGCTCAGTAGAATAAGTGCTTCCCTGGCAAGCACAAGGGCCTGAATTCAATCCCTGATTCCACTAAAAATAAACAAACAAACAAATAAATAAATAAATAATTCACCTAATACTATGGAAGAAGTGGAGACTTTCTCTGAAGAAACTATGCAGTATCATAGGCCTTTAGATAGTGACACAGAATTTCTGATAATAAAATATCCAAAAAGACAAAATATTCATCTTGCTATTTAATTACCCTTCTACAATATCTGCCCAGTATACTTAGAATTTTTACTCTGTTGCAATCAGCATATAATCCATGGAAATTTTAGAAAAGTCTCCAAGAACACATAGAGCAGAAATCAAAACCAACTAACCAACTGAAAAAGGAACTGGAAAAAATGAGTTACTACTCTTATGTTTGTATTGGAGATTGCATACAGGGCCTTCACAATGGGATAATGTAAAATTCTGAAACAAAATCTTGCTCGCTTGCCACATTACCTCAGCTGAGCTTGAACTTGGTTAATTTCTCTGCCTTAGCTTCCCAGAGTTTTGGGATTACAAGTGTATACCACCATTTCTAGCCAGGTAGCTATATATAAACAAAAGGAAATTATAAATACTAGAATATCTCTAATTTCATAAGATATCAAATCACTGAAACACAGAAAAGATTTTTTTTTTTGCGGAACCAGGGATTGAACTCATGCCCTTGTGCTTGCCAAGCAAGCGCTTATTCTACTGAGCTATCTCTCCAGCCCTGAGGAAGGATTTTTCAAAAAATCATAGACTTATTAAGGCTTTTTGTAAATGAAAAATATGATTGCATAAACATAAAATTCAGAATTTCTAAAATTAAAAATGAAAGGGCTAGGGAGATAGCTTGGTGGTCTAAGCACCTGCCTGGCAAGCACAAAGACTCGGGTTTGATCCCCAATACCCCATGCCATGATGGCCCCTGAACCTTAGGCTCAGTGCTAGCCACCAAAACTGGGCATGGTGGTGCACAACTGTATTTCTAGCACTGGGGAGGCTGAGACAGGAAGATCACTACAAGTGTACCAAATAAATAAATAGCAAATAATAGTAATAAACAAAAATGAAAGAATGGTTGAAACTATTTCACCTTCAACGACAAAGAAAGGAACAATAATAAAAATATCAAAGATGTTTAACATTCAATTATAAAATATGAACAAAGAGAAGGGGAAATTATCAGAGGTCTAAAACTACTGAATACCACCAAGTATCCAGCCTGAGTTACAACAACAACTACTGTGTATGTCATCACAAAAAGTCAGAGCAGCGGGAATAATAGAAAGATCTTAAAATCTGCCCGAGTGAAGAAGTTGGTCACAAAGGAGAATTAGAAATACTACATATCCCACCACCTATTTTTAACATGGAAAGTTAAAATGAAAAAAGACAAATATTTTTAAGAGAAAACAGTTTTCAACCAAAAATCTAAATACAAATTATCAATCAAGCATGAGCAGAGACTAAAGATATCTCTTTTCAAGTAAGGTCTCAAAAAACATGTTCTCTCATGACAACACCCTCAGGAAGTTGCTGGAAGATGTCCTACAGGAAAGTAGGAAGTAAACATAGAAAAGGAAGTATTTGATATCTAGGAATGAGACTGCTCAGCATGTAAGAAGGCAAGCTGAGAAGGACCACTAGAGAACAGCTGCCCACATTAGAAAGATGAAGAGAAAGAAAACTGGCCCTTCCGGGGAGATAAGCAGGACAAAAAAAAAAAAAAAAAGATGAATCATTACCAGCAGAATACAACAAAAACAAAATACGCAAGAAAAAAATGAAATAAGAGTACACCACCTGAACTCTTAGGAAATAACATTTATATAGGTAATATAAACACTGGGTAATGATTTACTTATTTGTTTTTTGATGCGGCACTAGTGACTAAACCCAGGCCTGGTGCTTGTTGGGCAAGCACTCTCCCAGCCCCGAATTAATAAAATGTTGTGACAAAACAACACTGGGAAGATAGGAGAAGGAAAGTAAAAGTATAACACAGTGATTGTGGAAGGAAATAAAACCCTTATCTATTAATGAACACAAATATCAAAATTAAGAAATGTATCAGCAAATATCAGTGGAAAGAATCAAAGAAATTAATAAAGACAAATGGCTCTAGCCATTGAAACTGTTATGTGGCTCTGAGAATGGGGAATATTATTGTTTTAAGTAGCTTTTCAATGATGTACTATATTAACTAGTAAATATTAAAATCAAAATGAGAAGGTGACAAAGCTTTAACATGTTACCTACCAAACTTCATTATGTTTGACATTACTAATTAACATGAATTTGTGTGACTATTAGAACAAAGCTTGCCATCTTGGGTTAACTGTGTATTCTGATATTATAAAACAGCTGTGAAAAACAAATTACAACTACCTGTGTGATTCATAATTTTGTTAGATAGACTCAAAATAATATTTAGAAATAAAGAAGATGGAACTATTACACTCTATTGTCACTGTCATCTGAAACCCCCAATTTTCATTTTTTAAAAAATTTATTTATTTATTTGGTACAGGGTCTTACTACACAGCTCAGACTCACAGTCTCAGCCTCCCCAGTGCTGAGATTACAGGCATGTGCCATTATGCCATTTCAGTGGCTGGGATGGTGGACACAGCATGCTATACCGGGGAGCTTGGGTCCTTTGATTGCCAGGCAGACCCTGAGACCACCGAGGTATCTCCCCAGACCTCAATTTTCCTTTTTATCAAAACTGTTTCCTTTAATTCACCTCATATTAGTAAATCTTATTACATGAGTAAGCTGCTTTTTTCTGAGGCAGGCTCTTGCAATGTAGTTCAGGCTAGCCTCGAACTTACATTGATCCTACTTCAGTCTCCTGAGTGCTGGGACTACATGTAGGCAGCACCACATCCATACATGAGTAAGACTTTAAAGATCACCCAGAGTGGGATTCTTCTAGATAACTTAGAAATGAATTTGGGGTTACTGAGTCATATGTCATAACCTTTGCTCTCGTCACATACTTGAGCTTAGGTAGCAAAGATAGAAGAAAACAAAAAAAGGCCCTGACGAAAAAAGTATGGAGGTTACTGAACAAGTTTCCTGAAAGGAAAGGTGTGTGGACAGCATGGTAGTAAGTGGATAGAGTGAAATAAGAAACTAATTTTCTTACATGTTTATTTGGGATTAAAAATCCAAAAAAAGTACACTTTTTTTTTTTTTTGGTCTTTTTGAGACTGGGTATCACAATGCAGTTCAGGATAGCCTGGAGTGCTGGGATTAAAAATACACTTCTACATGAAACTAGGTATGATACTGGATCAATGTGGTTTAAATGTTTAGATTCTACAGTGAAAGCAAAATGTCATTGGTTAATTTACTGAATATTATGAAATGTTATGAAGAACACAGAATATTGTCATGAAAACAATTTCATCTTTTAAGTATACATTCTAAAGGATAAGCTGGGAAAAGTGGATATGAGTACAAATTAAATAAGAACTGCCATGAATTAGGTACACAGTTTATTGCTTTCATTCATATATGAAATTTTCTATAATAAAAAATTTAAAAGACTTTGAGTCTAATAAAATAATGGTGAGAAATTAATAAATTAACTTGTTTATTTTGAGACAAGGGCTTCACTATGTATCCCAGTCTGGCCTTGAACTCAAATGAACTCATGGAAATTCTCCTGCCTCAGTCTCCCCCAGTGCTGGGATTATGGCATGTGCGACCACACCCCGTTTATTTAATCATTTTGCCATTCAGATACAAGCATGAAAGTTTACAGTCAGCCTAAGATAGCAAGTCTTCTGATGTGTCTCTCCTCTCATTTATTATTCACTCTACATATATCACCTCACCTCTAGGCAAGGGTAAAGTTGATTTCAGTTCAAAAGTCTATTTTTAAGCCAGTGCTAGCAGTAGAATGCTTTTCATTATATGAGACTATTCCCTTACTAAAACATTACATTTCTCCCATAATCATGCTTACTGAATTTCCAGTGGCCCTACTCCGAGTTATCAATTACATCAACTGATAATTAATTAGAACAAAATCACTGGTTAATAATTACCAAAACTTTTTACTGAGGGCTAGTAGCCCAGTGGTACAGCAACTGCAACACACACATGACTCTGGATTTAATTAACAGGACTGAAACAGAAACAGAGCTTTGTACTGAGTCTTTGAAAATCTGTAATAGCAGCCAGGTGTGGTGGTGTACTAGCAATCCCACTAGTCAGGAAGCTGAGGTAGGAAGATCACTGAAAGTTTGAGGCCAGCGTGGGCTACACAGTGAGTTTAAGGCCACCTTAAACTACACAGAGAGTTCTTGTCTCAAAAAACCCCAAAAAACCTACAATAGAACAGAGAAGTATCAGATCTCAAAACACTGGACTATCTTAGACATTTTTGTCTATTGACATTTTTGTGCCAATCAGTCTGAGGTCTTTAAGATAAAGAGATAATTCTTTCAGTTTCTTACCTTCAGGCAAACATACTAAGTGATTTCTTCTTACATTAAGGTCTCGCAAAGCCTCCAGATTACCAATTTGGGAAGGTATAGTCTGAATTTCATTGCAGCTGACATCCTGTTTCAAAATGATAAAAAGTACAGATTGTTCTTACTACAAATTTGCCTGCTTTAAGCTACCAAATGAGATTAGATAGGTCAGTACCAGAGTATCAGTCCTTCTTAGTACTAAAAAAAAATTGTGCTTCTGTGTCTAAAAATAATTCTACAGTTTATATTCACATTTAACTTGAAAACTTATTGGCATTGGGGTAGGGATGGAGGACTTGCCTAGCATAGGCAGGGTCTTGGATTTGATTCCCAGCACCATGAAAAAATAAAGTTGCACATGATTTTAAAAATGTTTAAAAAACAAGTTTTGATACAGTAATTTTATATAGATTTACATAAATTTTTGAGAACTATAATTAAATGACAAGATGTGAATGGAGGCCTAGATTATAATATCAAAGGAAAATGTTGGTGAAAAGGTAAAGTAGGAAAAAGTGTAATATAAAAATAAGGATTTTATTTTATATTATTCTAATGAAACTAGGAAAACAAAACAATGATACAATTATTTGGAAGAAAAACAAACTCATCCAAAATACCAGTATGACTGATCAACAATATAAATTAAAATGCACGTATGACTCAAACTATCAAACTGAATATGTGGGGGAAATATGTACATGGAGCCAGGGGTATAGCTCAGTGGCACAGCACCTACTTGGCAAGCAGGAGGTCCTGATTCCCAGTTCAAAAAAAAAAAAAAGTATGGCACTAAAAACACATAGGCTATGAAAAAAATGGGGACTGTTCTATGAACACTTGATGAAACTAATTTTTTTGGTACTGGAAATTAGACTCAAGACCTCACATTTGCCAGGCAGGCACTGCATGGCTGAAGTATATCCCCAGCCTAACAGTGTTTTACTATGCTCAGGATGCCCTTGAACCCACCATGTAGCCCAGGCTGGCCTTAAACTCACAGCAACCCTCCTGCCTCAGCCTCCCTTACCAGAAAAAGGAACTTACTTAAAAATTTTAAAAAGAGTAATTCTGAAAATTAACATGGCCAACTTCTATGATTTTTAAAATCTGCCATCTGTTTTTCAAATAAGCATTAAATGTTAAGGTGTTAATCAGCTATTCAATTCCTGAAATTCCAATATCATAAGGAAATTAGTAGCACACATACAAAAGTGGATGTAAGAACATTTCACCTACCATTGCTCTGAACTAATAAATGTTACGCTTCAGTGAGTACTATTTAGAAAGTCATACTATTTCAGGAAAAACTTCAGTAAGATTCAGACATTACTTTTTAGTTTTCCCAAAATACTCTTAGAGAAAACAATGCAATTTTTACTTTCTTGCCAATTAGTGCCTGAAAGAACTAGACTTAAATCTAATTGTGTGATTGTCCTAGGCAATAAAGGCTAAAGGATTCTAAAAAGTGAAAAGGCAAGAAAACTCAAGTTTGACCCAAAAGATGGCAACAATTGATAAAACATCTTTCAGAAAATATATGTTGAAAGACATTTTACTTTTACTGAAAAACAAGATAGAACAAAGGAAAGAGGCAATACGGATGTTGCAGAAAGACCATTAGATAGGAATCAGGAGCTTGAGGGGATGAATTCTTTCATCAAAAGCTCTTTGTATGACAGAGAGAGTAAAAACTAAAGGCAGCTACTGGAACGCCTCTTTGAGTAAGTAGGACTGAAAAAGTAGAAAGTAAAATTTTAAATGACTTGAAAATAGGAATTTCAACTGGAGTATAATTTACAATTAGTTCATGTTAATACAAACTCTGAATGAATGCCAACCAAGGCATATTCTGGACTTTATTTCCTAGGTCTACATGGCTTTAAAACTAGTCTAAAATCTAAACTCGGGGGCTGGTGAGATGGTTCGGTGACCTAAGGCACCTACTTAGAACAAGCTTAGCAAAGCACGGGGACCGCGGTTCGATCCCCCAGCACCGCATGCCGGCAGGCCCCGCCCCCTGGTGGGGTGAGCTGGCCACACACACACACACACACACACACACACAAATAAATAAAATTTTTTAAAAAATAATAATAATAAAATCTAAACTCTAGGTTTAATGTCTGTGAATTTTCACAGGTAGCTTCTTATATTCAAAATGCAAGTAAAATGTGCCCTAATTGGTACAATTAGATTAACATCGTGTAACCTTTTCTGTTTATGATAAACATTTTTGCCAATAAACTCACAAGGAACTATACTCTTAAATCTCATTGGACAGGATTTTATTTGACCATTTTAGAAATATGAAATGTGATTTAATATCAAGGTTACTGGTTCCAAATGCTATGGATATGTAACCTTGGGCAAATTATTTAACCAGAGTGGTACTTTCCTCAGCTACAAAATGGAGACAATTTTAGTACTCAGCTTATAACTTTAATCACAGTAATTAAATGAGAAATTTTTTTTTCCCCCGGTACTGGAGAATGAACCTAGAATCTTTACATTGAGCTATATTACTCCACCTCCTTTCTATTTTTTATTTTGAAACATGGTCTCATTAAGTTGCCCAAGTTGGGCTTGTACCTCAGTCCTCTTGGTTCAGCCTCCCAAAGAACTAGGACTACAAGCATGTGCCACTAAGCCCAGTGAAAGGTCTCATTCCTGTACTCAGAATGTTTACACAACAGTTTCTTATAATTTACAATGGATGGTAGATGAACTTCAAGTGAAATATCTTAGAAAAATACATGGCACTAAATTATACTTTGTAGTTATATTTTAAATATAGTAAAACAAAAAAGCCTGACATTGTAAGTATCCATTCTCTTATGTAACTAACTGAAAAGTAAAATATTGATGGTATTAAAGCTGATGTGGGGGGGCACATCTGTAATCCCAGTACCTTGGAAGCTGAGGCAAGAGTATCATCACAAATTTGAGGCCAACCTGGGCTATATATTGAGTTCAAGACCACCCAAACTACAAAGCAAGACACTATCTCAAGTTATTATTAAGTTTAATAATAAAACTATTATTTAAAACTATTAAGAGTTTAATAACATGGAAATCATTCAATATGGGTTAGAGGGGCCAGGGAGATGGCTCAGTAGAATAAGCGCTTCCTTGGTAAATGCAAGGGCCCAAGTTCAATCTCCGGTTCCACAAAAAAAAAAAAAAAAAAGAAAGAAAGAAAAATATGGGTTAGAACATAATTCTAATCACATTCCTCTATTTTGTGTATATCTATGGGATTTGCACTTTTGGTCCTTTCTTAATTCTGTTAAGGAGATAAGCACTGATCACTTAGTACTGTACAGTTCATGACTAACATTGGAAAAGAACTCAAAACCACATTTTAAGAATAAATTGTTAACACATGGAAGAGTACAGTATGGCTGGAAACACACTGAAAAATCAAAAGTTAAAATATTAACTTACAAGTTCCATTAAATGTCGGAGGTGACCAATTTCTTCAGGAAGTGAGACCAATTTGTTATTACTAGCAATTAACACCCTCAATGGTAAGTTACACAAGTGTACTGGCAATGTTGACAGTTGGTTCCGACTAAATGAATAAGAAAAGAGGAGTTAGATGCCATCACTGAAGAAAAATTTCCATCTCTCTCATTCTACACTGAAATATCAGTCTTATAATGAGCAAACAGGTTAGCAGATTTGTGTTCCAGTCTTCATCAGTTGTCAGCTTTGTAGGTTTATGCACTGAACTTATCTGGGTTAAATGCAGATTCCTCATCCATAACCTATTTTTGCAGCTGGCTATGGGGGTGGACACCTGTTCTTCCAGCACTCTGGGAGGCTGAGGCAATAGAACTGCAAGTTCCAGCTCAATCTGGGGAAATTTATCAAGACCATCTCAAAATAAAAAATTAGAGGGGGCTGGGCATTAGTGGCGCACATATATGGGGAGGGTAAAGCAAGACAATTACCATGAGCTCGAGGCCAGCCTAAGTTATATAGTCAGTTCAAGTGGAGTTGGTTCAATGTAGGCGTTAAAATATTTTTAACCGACTGAATAAGTCATTTAAACACATGCCTCTAACTCTTGTTGCAAGAATACATAGTGAAAGCCTGACCCAAAACCAAAAATCAAACCAAAACAACTAGGGACATAGCTCAGCACAAAAGCCCTGAATTCAATTCCCAGTACCATATATAAAAACAAAAACCTGGCAAAGCTAAGTATCAGCAGGGTGTGGTGGCACACACCTGTAATCCCCACACTCTGGAGGCTAAGGCAGGAAGATTGCTGTGTGTTTGAGGCCAGCTTGGGTTATGTAGTTAGTGTCCCTGTCTCCTCTGCAAAAAGAAAACAAAAAGCTAAGTATCTCAGGAAAACAGGGTTTAAAAATTCTGCAAATAGTGCTGGTCAGATAGCTCAGCGGACTAAAGCACCTGCTTAGGCAGAGCACAGTGGCCAGGGTTGACACTCAGCATGCCATGCCACCCTGCCATAGGGGCACGCTGCAATGGTGATATGCCTAAAATCCCATCGCTTGGGAGGCTGAAAACAGGAGGATCACTGCAAGTCCGATCTACGTAGTGGGACCCTGTACCAAATGCATAAAAAAAAGTACATAAATAAACTGCACTAAATTACTACTTATAAAAATATTTCCTAAAGGGTATTTTATGACAAGAGGAAATAGTTCAAAAATTTTTTGGGCACAGGGTCTCACTATGCAGCTCAGACTCTTAGCGATCCTCCTGTCTCAGCCTCCCCAGTGCTAAGATTACAGGCACACACACGCCACCACACCCAATTTCTGGCCCGCGTGGCAAGCCTGGGGTTCCAGGACTGGCACAGCACATGGTACCAGGGATCAAAACTCAAGACCTTGCGCTTACCATGCAGGCACTTAAACTGTCGAGCTATCGCCCCAGCCCAGTTTAAACTTTTTGACTAAAAATCTGGAAAAACATGAGAAAAACATCTATAATAATACAACTCACACAACATTTTGATAAATTTATACTTTGCTATATTTGTGCACATTCTCCCATTAGCTTTTAAACTTTTGCATGCCTATGAAATACAGTTCTTAGGTGTGAAAAAATGGAGGTGAGTTGAATAAATGTTTATTTATACATTTATATATTCAAATAATATACAAGAAATAATCACAAGAACCAAATGAATTTATTTCAGATCTACTTTTTTTTGTCTTTGTGAGTCAGGGCTTTACTATGCACTTCAGGCTGTCCTTACATTCACGCTGTAGCCCAGGTTTGCTTCAAACTCACAGACATCCTCCTGCTTCACCCTTTCCAGCACTGTTGGGATTACAGATGTGTGTCACCATGCCCAGTAGATCTATTACTCTTATATTTTTGGTGACACAATATTTTTCTATTTTATTTAGATTTCTTCTAGCTAAGTAGACACAGTTTAACATTGTTACTTCATGAAATTAATTTGAAAATGTAACTGAAAAGGATTCTTTTTTGGTTTTTGGCTGGCTGAGGCTGTCTTAAGGGCGGGTCTGGTGAGGTATGTGGAACTGGGGATCCAACTGCGCTCCCCTGAACCTCACTGAGTTTGCTGAAGTAGGTGCTTCAAACAACTGAAATAACCTGCAAGCCCCCCTGAAAATGTAATTGAAGGACCACTATTTCAAGCTGTTTGAAACCTCTTTGGCTAGCAGCTAGTAGTGTTTGTCACTGGCTGCTAGGCCAAAAATAGAGAAAATAAGGCAATATATTCAATATATCAATATATCCTAAGAACACACATAGAAACTGCCAATATGAACAGAAAACATAAATGTTTATAAACAGTTAAGTGACAGAGATGGAAAAAAGGAAAAGACCATTTAAAACCAAAATTTTTTTTTTCTTTTTAAGAAACAGTATTCTTACCTAATATTTAAGACTGTTAGAGCTTGTAAGTTTAGAATTGCTTCTGGGATATACCGAATACAATTTTGGTACAAGTTGAGATTTTCAAGAGAAACAAAATGACATACTTCTATAGGAATTTCTGAGAGGCGATTTCGTGATAAATCTGAAAGGAGAAATAAATTTAAAATCAGTCCTGAAAACTAACTGAAACAAAACTCAATCAGTATATTTTGTGATTATTTTAATTTTCCAAGTTTTACTGTGGAGTTGGCCTAGTGAAAGCATTAAAATGTTTATTGTCTGAATAAGTCAATTAAACATATACCCTTAATTCTGTTGCTAGAAAAAAATTTTTTTTCTCTTTTTTGCAGATTGAACCCAGGGCATTCTCACTGAGTTACATTCTTAGTCCTTTTCTAAATTTTTATTTACTTATTTCATTTTGGGGGTAAATTGGGGATTAAAGAGAGGACTATTACACTGAGCTCCATGTCCAGGCCTTTTTATTTTTTGAGACAGAGTCTTGCTACATTGTTAAACTGCCCAGACTACCTTGGAACTTTTGATCCTCCTGCCTCAGCTTCCCAGAGTTCTGGGATTACTGGGGTGAAGCACCACATTCAGCCAATGATCCTTTTGAATTTCCACATACACCAAGAAGTAAAACCATTTTTCTTTGCAGATTCAGGTAATAGAAGTTCTAAGACCTCTACCTAAAGACTGTATCATAGTTTGTATCACTAGGTTGAGTGATGGTGCGTCCCTATAATTCCAACAATTTGGGAGGCTGACATAGGAGGATTGCAAGTTCCAGACTAGCCTGGCAACTCACGTGACTTGGCCAAACCCTGTTTCAAAATAAAAAAGGTTGGGGATGTAGCTTGGTGTAAACACACACACACACACACACACACACACACACACACACCACACCCCACATACACAGAAATCATATCACTAAATTTCACATATTTTAGGAAAGAAACACCCCTAATTTGTCTTTCCAAAGGCACCAAAAACATTCTCAGACTTTTAGAAAAGTGAAACAAAACATTATCCTTTTCTTTACCAGATGAAGATGATCAAGAGCCTATAACCTTTGATAGCACTAACAATAGATGAAACAGTCTGACTTCAATAAAAACAAATGCACAGGGCATGGTAGGCACTACATGCCTGTAATCCCAGTTATTCAGGAAGCTCAATTAGGAGGATTGCAAATTCCAACCCAGTATAAGTGACTTAGCAAGACACTGTCTGAAAGTAAGAAATAAAAAGGACTGAGGATATAGCTCAGTGGTAGAGCACTTGCCTATCATGTGCCAGGCCCTGCCACATGTACTACCAATAAAAGATAACAATAATTACAATGAAAACACAAAACTGAGAAGAATCAAACCTTTATTGTGCCCTCCCTACATAAATCATTGAATAATCAAACAGATAAAAAGATGCATCTCTAAATAAGACATCCTAACTATGAATGAAACAGAATGCCAGGATATCAACATTTTACAATCCACAGAAATGAATGGAAGGGGCCGGGGAGATGGCTCAGTGGATTAAGTGCTTCCCTGGCAAGCACAAGGGCCTGAGTTCAATCCCTGGTTCTGAGAAAAAAAAAAAAAAAAAAGAAAGAAAAAAGAAAAAAGAAACGAAAGGAGCTAGAACTAAATAATCTGGCTAGGGGCTGGAGAGATGGCTCAGTGGTCTAAAGCACCTACTTGAAACAAGCTTGGCAAAGCACAGGGACCGCGGTTCTAATCCCCCAGCACCACATACCAGCCAGCCCCGCCGCCTGGTGGGCTGAGCTGGCCACACACACACACAATAAATAAATGTAATAAATAAAAATAAATAAATATTTAAAAAAAAATAAATAATCTGGCTATCTTTATTAAAAAAAAAGTAATCATAAATTACTGCATATGCATCCCACTAGAACAGAACATCACCTACAATTTTGCCAAAGGGACAGAACCTGGGTCTAATGTTGCTTCTATTATTTGTTTTTCCTTTTTTTTTTTTAATGTATTTTAGTACAGGATCTCACTACACAGATTAGACTTGTAGTGATCCTCCTGTTTTCAGCCTCCCAAGCACTGGGAGTACAGGGGCACACCTCCACGCCTGGTCTCAGCCTCCGACTCAGTGTACCCGAGGGCAGGGCTAGCACAGTACACCGGGGGTTAAACCCTGGTGTGCTGAACTATCTGGTCAGTCTTTAATGTTGCTTCTGTATCTGCTGCAAACTTTCAAGAAACATACTGCACAGGAATGTAAACTGATATATGACTATTTGGTAAGTCCCTGGCTTACAAATGAGTTCAGTTCAGTTTCAGAGAATATTCCTAAATATGATTCATCTGTATTCTGATAAAGTAAGCCTTATACAGTATCTGTGAATCTTATATAGTACACCTGTGAAAGTTCAAAACCTGAATGTTTTAAAGTCAGGTTTATTGTATATCATTGCCCATTTAATTAAATATACCATAATGTTCATTTGCTTACCACTCTTTTCTCTCATGTCTGCAGGAAAATAGAAAAAAGATAACAAAGATTCTTTTGTAATCTTTAAGTGTCTATTGGAAATTATATACTGAGACTCCTTAAAGAACTTTCTCCAGATGGAGCACTTGATTTCCTGCATATTTTGTTTTCGTTTTGTATTTTTGGTACTGGGGATTGAAATCAGGTTCTTGCGCTTGCTAGGCAGGTGCTTAAGCTACGCTACTGAGCTATCTCCTCAGCCCAATTCCTGCATATTTTAACCAAACAAGTAAAGGCTATTTTGGACAGGTACTGGCATAATTCTTAGTAATCTGCAGATGTTATTCTGCTACCTTCTAGTTTTCAATGTCACATGGGGAGCAATCTGGTGCCTTGCTGATTACTTTTCCTTGTAAGCAGTTTCTTCTGCCTGCCGACCACCTTCCACACTCAAGGCTGGAACTCAAATAATTCCTTTCAATCTTTCTTCCAAACAAAAATTCTCTCTCTCACTCTTTTTTTTTTTTTTTTTTGGCGGAACTGGATATTGAACTCAGGCCCTTGCCAGACTTTTTTGTGTACTTTCATTTTTTGGCGGAACCAGGGATTGAACTCAGGTCTTTGTACTTACAGGCAAGTGTTTACTCTGCTGAGCCATCTCCCCAAGAATTCTTCATTATTATATCTTTAGTTGTTGTATTACCTCCATTCGCTCTCTCCTTTTTTATGTTTTTCTGGTTTGATATACTCTTCTACCTAATATTCTAAATTATGAATCTGAGTCTCAACAAAACATCAATCTCAAAAAATATAGAGAGAAGTATTTTCCCCTCACTTCATGTTTAAATTCTTTTATGCTATAATTAGAAGCATACACTTTGTTTCTCTTAAGATTCCAGATAATTTGTTTTGTTCTGGTTGGTGAACTCACTATCAATGAGGCCAACTTATCCCGGATACTCTCCTTGTTCACCCTCTCCTTGGCTGACTTAAAGTATACCTATAAGTGGACTGTTTGCTTTTCTCTTCTTTTCTTTCTTTCTTTTCTTTTCTTTTTTTTTTTTTTTTTGTGGAACTGGGGATTGAACTCAGGCCCTTGTGCTTGCCAGGCAAGCGCTTAATCTACTGAGCCATCTCCCTGCCCCCAAGTGGACTGTTTTCATTGGCCAATTCATAGCTGGGGGCCTTAAAACTCAGGTCAAGTTGCAACTCCTAAACAACAGTTAGCACCAAACAGAGGAGCAACCACTAAAAGAGCTAGAATTAAACTTTCTCTGTTGAGCAAGCTATTTCTGGAAACTCAAAAGGTCTGGTATTTGTCCAGAGGCCAGTGTCAACCAAGACCCCTACACTCCCTATGGGCACCACCTGTGTGCCAGGCAGCTGCCAGTAACTAAAGTTGGGAAAGAGACCATCATCTTTCCAAAATGCCTGCTCAAACCATGTAAAAAGTTAAAGTCAAGTAACAGAAACCATTAGGTACTTCAGGCTAAAAAATTATCACATAAATCAATCAAATTGTGACTACTTTTTGTTAATACAAAGAACAATAATTACTTAATCATTTCCTATTTAAAATATATAAAACAAACTTTCAAAAATTACGAAGTATAATGTTAAAAGTTGAAGAAATTAGATTACTAATGTCAATTACAAATTGGGGGGGTTAACCTTAATTACAAATTTGTAACCTCAATTTGTAACTGAGGTTAGCTCAGTTGTTTAAAGTGCCTGCTTGGCAAACTCAGATGCAGGGGACTGTGGTTTGATCCCCAGCTCCATAAGCCATGCCAGATCTGCACTTAAGGCAGCCTGAGCTAGAAAAAAAAAAAAAAAAAAAATCCCCATGCTAACAAAGAAAAAAATATTTGCTGGACACAGATTAAGCTTAGCTGTATCTCCACAAATAACTATTTTTTAATTTTTAAGTATTAGCCAATTTATCTTTTTTAAAAAAATGTATTTGGCTGTTAGAGGGTCTCACTACACAGCTCGGACTCATAGTGATCCTCCTGTTTTCAGCCTTCCCAGCCCTGGGATTATAGGCATACACCACTATACCCTGACTCTGTGCCGGCTCAGCCTGCCCTAGGGGCAGGGCTGGTGCAGCATGCAGTGCTGGGGATCAAATCACAGTTTCTGTGCTTGCCTAAGCAGGTGTTTTAGTCTGCTGAGCTATCTCACCAGTCTATTATTTTTCTAAATTTACTTTGCCCATCAAATGATGAAAACATAAAGCCAATGTAATACACACACAGCATGGAGTACTGTTTAGCCATAAAAAGAATGGAATCCTACAACATGGAAGAGCTGGGGATCATTATGCTAAGTGACATAAGCCAAGCACAGAGAGACAAGTAGTACATGCTCTCACTTATATATAGAATACAAAATGTTTATCTCAGTGGGACATGGTGACACACATCTGTAATCCCAGCACTTGGGAGGCTGAGGCAGGAGGACTGCTGCAAGTTTGAGGCCAGCCTGAGCTACAAAGTGAGTTCAAACCTTGTCTCAAAAGATAGATAGATAGATAGATAGATAGATAGATAGATAGATAGACAGACAGTCAGACAGATAATTTAAAATGTTGATCTCAGCTAGGTGTGGTAATGAAGGTCTGTAATCGCAGAACTCAGGAGGCTGAGGCAGGATTAATGTGAGTTCCAG